AGTATCTGACTTAAATTTTAAAAGCATAAATGTTTGTATTTACTTAATATTAATGTTTAGCTACTTCTTTTTTCTTGGGTTTAGCAATCTGTCATCACAAAAATACCAGTTCTGCTCAGAGATCATCTTGTGCAACTTTTGTGTCCTGCAGTATTGTTATTGTTAACTAAAACTCATAATAATTCAATACACATAATATAATAAATAATTAAAACTCAAAATAATTTCTGTAATTTAAATAAAGCTGAAATATAATAAAATACAAATGTTGAGATTTAAAACCTAAACTAAAAAACATAAATAAAAGTTACAATTTGTTTCCTTGGCAACTAACTGGAGACGTTTAAGTTGAAATACTAAAATTACTAAAACGAAATAACTGAAATATTATTTAAATATTTTATTAATGAAATAAAATCAGAGCTATATAGAAATATTAACAAAATAACTAAAACCAAATGGTCAAAAATGACAAAAAAAGACAAACAAAATCTGTAAAAATAAGACACAATGTATTAATATGAAGGAATTTCAACTTAAAATTATATATATATACTTTATACGTATACTTTATAAGTATAAATAAGTTAGATCAAAATATTAATAATAAAAGTATATAAATAATATAAATAGTATTAAGAATAGTATAATACTAAAATAGGACCTGCCAGGCCATCGTTGTACGTAAGAATCTTGCTTTTAAGAGTCTGCATAATAAAGGTTAAACTACAAATAAAGACATTTGCTGTTGAGTTTGTTATAGTGTCTGTACATTCAGATAAATGAGTGTCTCACAAACATATGGTTCTGGCGCTCATATATGACAGCCTATTGATGTGACTGCAGACCTCATCTAATCTCTGCTCTGTAAAGCTCAAGTGCAGATGATAATTATCATTGTCTGTTTGTCTTATGGAGTGTGGCACACTTCATTAATAAAATCAATTAGTGTGCTCTCATAACTGCGTATTGATTTACATCACGCCATTCATCACTCTAGTCTTCATTCGCTCTCTATGGAAACGTCACGTCCCAATTTGACTTCCTGTCAGCTGGTACGACAACAACTAATCTGAATTAGTTCGGTTTTGATTGTATTGATTGCATTTACACTTGAACACAATCCCAGAAATAGGCCTAATCATTCTGGATCATCCCGTTTCTCCATTTTTCACAGTCCAGCTGCAAAGCATTTTCCTACAAATCAGAAGTGTGTGTGTTCAAATCCCATACCCTATATATGGAAGGCTGTTTCTGCCACAGGATTTTAAAAAATAAACAATTCTCAAAAAAATATCTCAAATTTTGATCTTTTTTGTCAGAATTTGAGTTTATATCTTGAAATTCTGACTGTATAACACACAAGTGCGAGTTATAAAGTCAGAATTGTGAGCTGTAAACTTGGAATAG